TGCTTTCATACATGTCTACATTACAAAAAGGTTACCACCAGCAGGCTAATTAAAACCCCCAGGGCTCTACCTAGTTGCTTCGCAGCTCTCAGTTGTCTTCATGGGTCCCAGGTGTCAGAGCCTACCTTGCTGCACAGATTGCAGAGCAGGGCCTGGTGGAGGTGGTGTGTGGAGGCTTCACCAGCTCGATTCTTCAGTTCCATCCTACAGCCAGGCAATCAGAGTGGGAGAAGAGAAGAAACCAGTTTTACTGGTTGTATCCTCCACCTTTCCCCCCACATCTAATGGAGTGCTCTTTAAACCCAGAAGATTAGCGTCTGGTGACTTTGTTTACTTAAGTTCAAGCGGAGTGGTTGCAGGGTGCTACACATACGTTCAGTGCCTTAATTTATAACTCTGCCAAAATGTGGACTGTAAATAGTATCCAGTCTCACTACTTACGGAAACTGCCTTGTGCAGGTATCCCCTAGGGAGTGGTGTTATAAATTTGTAAATGAATACATCCAGAGGTCCTAACAAGTGGTGTTCCAACATTGTCATCTTGATAGATGTAGACAGGAACTCTCACCCACTGGAATTTCCCTCTGAAATTCTGATTTCTCTAAACATGTGATAATCCTACTGGGCAGGACAGGAATCTATTTGAAGTTTGGTGAGGTGGGGGTGGGGGGCAAGAAGGAGGAAGAAAAGACATTCTAGTGTGTGGTTGACATTGTCATCAGGCTCCTTGGCATGTATCAGAACCAGAAGGAAAGAAAACTGCAGGCATAAGCAGAGGATGAAGGTTGCATAAAGGAGTCATGAGACTCTAGAGCACAAGTAACTTCCTTATTGCAAAGGCAGAGTCCTGTCATCTGGATCTTGGGGACTCCCAAAGGCATAGGATATATGTATGTGTGTTGTGTGTGTGTGTGTGTGAATAAGAATTTCTGAGTGTGAATGAAAGAGTATGAAAATGCATATGCGTGTGAATGAGGGTGAATGTGTGTGGTGTGAATGCATAAATACAGGTGTAAGCGTGTGAAGGTGTGTGTGTGTTACCTGTGAGTGTTTGGACATGTGTATGTGAATATGTGTGAGTGTGTGAGTGAGTTTATGAATGTGTGTGACTGCCTATGAGTGAGTGTGAGAATGTGTGTGTATGAGCACATGAATGAGTGTGCTAATGTGTGTGAGTATAGTGTGTTTATGTGTATGCGTGTGTGTGAATATAAGGCTTAAGTTCTACACTGGTTAAGAGAGTAAGAATCAAGGAATTGTGGGTCATTACCAATAATATGGCCAAATCTAAAACTACTAGCTGGTTAGTCCAGGAGGTATTTCAGTGAGAACTGTCCAGAAAATTGAACCTAGCTAGGAATTTCAAACACAGGTGATTTTTTTTTCAAGAAAAGTTTTATTGGGGTTTTATTTATCATACAAAAATTTCATATATTTATCATACAAAAACTTCATGCATTTGGAGTGTACAGTTTGATAAATTTTGACATGTTACAACCATAAAACCACGCTCAAGACAACATCCCTTTATAATCTGCACGACTGCTCTTCCACATCCCCTTCTCGACAATCTACTTTCTATCCCTGAAGCTTAGTTTACATGTTCTAGTAATTTATATGAAATAAGTAGACACAAATATAGTGTTTTTAAAAATGTAATAAAATATAGGGCATAAAATTTTGCATTCAAGCCATTTTTATGTGTACAGTTCAGTAGCATTAAGTACATTCACAGCCTGTGCAAACATCACCACCATCCATCTTCATAATTCTTTTTGTTTTCCTAAACTGGGGTCTGTACCCATTAATCAATAACTGCATTTCAACTTTCTGTCCCTACAATTGTGGCTACTTTATGTACTTTATATAAGTAGTTTCACACAGTTTTTGCCATTTTTTGACTGACTTGTTTCACTTAGCATAGTGTCCTTAAGTTTCATCCAAGTTGTGACATACTGCAGTATTTCCATCCATTTTAAGACTGAATAATATTCCATTACATAATGAACTACATCTTGCTTATTTGTTTGTTGGTAGGCATTTGGGTTGCTGCAACATTTTACCTATTGTGATACTGCTGCTATGAACACAGATGTACAAATACCTCTTCAAGACCCTGCTTTTAGTTCTTTGGGGTTTAAATTCAGAAGCGGGGTTGCTGAATCACGTGACAATTAAGCTATTTTTCATTTCTTGAGAACCCCATACTACTTTCCATATTCCCACCAATGTTCAGTGAACAATGGGTCTTCTTTCTCCACATTTTGCCAACACTTAGTATTAATCTGTTTCTTTTTAGAGTAACCATTCTGATGGGTATGAAGCGGTATCTCATTGCACTGTTGACTTGCCTACGCTAAATATTAGTGACACTGAGACTCTTTTCATGTGCTGTTATTTAATTTTCAGTCTTTTTTACCTCTATATTTTATTTTGTATTTTCTTTTCAGTTTGTTCAGAGTTCACTTTATTTTTAAAAGTCTATTTCTATTGCTTTGTTCACTGATCTTCCCTTCTGCAAGGTCTAATCTGCCATTAATCCTATTGAGTGTATTTTTAATCTAAGACATTTCAGATTTCTGTGTAAAAGTTAAATTTAGGTAGGTCTCCTAAAAATATCTTCCATTAACATGTATAATCTTTCCTTTAGTTTCTTAAAGAATGAAAAAGTTAATGTTACTGTTTTGATGTCTGCCTGCTAATTTTAACATCTCTGAAAGTTCAACTTTGGTTTTGACTGATTACTCTCTTGCTCATTCTGAGTCATATTTCCCTGCTTGTTTGCATAGCTAGTAATTCTTGACTTTATTGTAGATTTTTACCTTCCTTGCTGACTGCTAGAGTTTTACATTCCTGTCAGTTTTCTTGAGTTTTGTCCTGGGATACAGATATATATATATATAACTCCCCTTGTGTTTTCACACTCAGATTTCACCACATGTAGTATCCAGCAATTCACTAGTTCAGGTTTTTCTGCTTGAGCACTGGCTCCAGTAGCAATAGCTGCTCCAGGGTTCTGCTCTGGAAAGTTGGGATTCTTTTTATGTACTTTTTTGTCTTATCAGTGTTGGGGCAGTTGTAATCTGCACCAATTCTCTAATGGATCTTAGTTTTCAGTTTGTTTAGGTTGTTGTTATGACTTACTAGGAGAATGATGACTTCCAAGTTCCTGTATGCTAGACTGCAATCTGGAATTCATAGTGATTGAATGAATCATATTTTGAAGCCTAGTTATTTGAAAAGTATAAGTTGGAAACAAAATTGATGCCATAGGGGATGCAAAAATCCATCACCCCAAAATATGACTTTTGACAAAAGACTGATTTAATGGGAGAAGCAAGGAAGGTTGACTAGAGGTTACTTTTGAAAAAGACATTTATGTGTAAACATCTCTCTCAAAGTGTCTTTTCTAGAAAGACCTAATTTCCTTATCTCTTTTCAATGGACAAGGCAAACTTGAAATATGCATGGCTTTTGTTTGCTGTGCTGTCCTTGGTAAACTCCCTAAGGAACTTTCTCTTTCATTTCCTATCCTCCTTTGTCTAAGCTAAGCTATTTAAGATGATGTTTGAAGCCTTATGGGCTAGATACTCAGCATGTACCCAGGTACATAGGAGATATGCATACTGTTATTATTCTTTTTTGACATTTTTATCTTACCAATCTGTCATATGCTTGTTTGATAGTTTGACAGCCTCAAAGAACCCAGAGGGATTTTCTGACCTTTACATTACATTTGTAACACATCTTTGCATTGTCATGGTGCAAATCCACACCAAATTAGATTCACCCTATGAAAGTTATGTTGGGGGGTATCAAACACAACACCTGTATGAAAAATATTAATGGCAATTGATGATTGAGCTGAGAATGCCACCAATTACAAACCAAAACCAGTTCCATATAGTTCTAATAACTTATCAGCAAGGCCTCCAGCTGATTTTGATTTGCTCTATTTTGGCTAACCAGTTTGAGCGCCACTGGAGTGGTCTTCTCCATAGGTACATTCTGTGCTCATGATTCCATTCTTGATCTCCCTGGCCCCTCCTCACTACCTTTCTTTGTTCCTTCCACAATTTATGAATGTAAATTGATCCCTTGTCAGTGTTTGTATGACATCTATTTGGAAATGTACACATTTGCCCATTTAAGTCTGGCTGTAAAAATCTGTCTGCCAAACGCGGTATCATTTATAGCAAACCCACTTGTAGAGGTCTATGAATGGTTGGGTAAAGCTTTTTGATGGGCATGGTTAATTACACAGGACCTAGTTTGTCCTTCTTTCCATCTATTCCAATAAAATCCTTCCAAATATTAAAGTTCTACAATGCCAAGGGATTGGCTGCCCTGTTTTGGTGCAACCAAAGATGATTCCACCAGGGCCTCTGTTCTTAGAAGTTAAAAACTCAAAGTTCGTAGAAGTGGGCTAGATCAGAAAACAAACAAAGAACAAAAAGATTCATGGTTAGTCATTCAGAGTTCTTGGAGGGCATTCATGAAGGAATGAGACCAGAATGGGCTGGTCAACTAGAGGCTGGCAAAAATCTACAGGGATGCAGGACAAGGTCCAGTGACTTAGGGTAGTGAGTATGTGTCTATTTACATTAGTGCTAGGTTTTTCCCTGGGAGTTCTAAACTGGGAAGTTGGTAAGAAATTAATATGAAGCTACATTTCTTTATACTCTACATGGCGTGGAAATAATTTCAAGCTTATTACACTTTAATGAACAGATATACAGAAAATGAGACTGAGAGCTCTGGCTGTTCCTTCCTGTTCCTCTAGTGACCTTGGAAATTGTTGCTTGGAAGCAGGTGGAGCTCACTCACAGATGCTAGAGTTGACTTCGTGCTAGGGATGTGTCAGCTGGTGTCCTCAGAGGCTTTCCAAAACCCAAGAGATCACAGGAAATGCTCTTGGATAAGTGTTTAACTTCTTTGATTTTGCTTGTTCTCCATGACTTCTGTGGGTTGTTCTTGGCTTCTTTACCACTACTGGTTTTCTAGATTGTTCTTCTACTCTTCCTCCTGTAGTGATATAACTAAGTCATAGTCATAGGTGTAATATTGCACCAGGAAAAATGTGGTCCCTAACCTAAACCAGCATAAATAGAGCATTCAACATTGCTCCTCTTGGCCCACTAACTTTAAAAGGCACCTTCCTACAGGCTGCATCTGACCTCTCCATCCCTGCTGAAGCCCAGACTCACTGCTCTATGGTTCTCACAACGCAATGTCCAATCACGGTGCAATGAGTGACTTGAGCAAGCCCTCATCTGTCGCTGCCAGCTGTAGGCTGCACATTTCAGGGTCTGAGAGAATGGAGTTCCAGATGGGCTCTGCTTTGGACCTAATTCCCAAGGGGGTTATTACTTGAGAAGTCCCTCAGACATACGGAAACCTGGAGTTCCCTCTGAGTTATCCCTTTTCATGAACTATCACTTTCGATTAGAAGCCAGATTCTACCAATTTGACCTACTTTACATATTTTTGATTTCCCCTTTCCTTTTTAACCAATGCCTACCAACCTAGTTCAAGTTCTCGTCTGCATCATAATGTGCTCAGACTTCCTCTAATAGCTACCTTAAATCCAGCCACTAATAGTAGGCAACACATTCAGAGGGCCAGTGCTTCCATCTGCGCCCACGCCCCTCTGTCTGGCCCTATTTCTATGATTAGGTCACTGTCCATTCCCTCACCATCACTGTCACCACTGTCCCTGTACTTTACAACCCACTGTTCAGGTCTCTTCAGCTTCTCCCTTACATCATCACCTGCCTCGCCTGTCCTCATGCTCCTCCGCCAGCTGCCCTCTCCTGTCTCGTGCTCTCTGGCCTCTTTCAGGTACTAGGTACTAGCAATTCTTTTTAAACATTAT